ACGAAGAAATGTTTATAATAAAGGCCTAAATTTAATTATTTTTTTGTTGGGGAAACCCCATTGTTTCTTAGTAGGCTAGGCCCTACCGTTACCTGTAGGTTTCATAGAAGAGAAAGCAATCGCCAGTAAGGACCAGATTATATTGTGCGATGTTCGAATTGACCTATCAAAACAAGTACCTTTTGCCCAACTTTCTAATTCCCACGTGCCTGCACAGCCCGCACAATACAGCATGTAAACACTGACTTGGATCAGCCGCAGTTGAAGAAGTTCGTTGTGGCGATCACGTGATGCCACGTGATATCCCACGTAGAACAGCGTATGCTACGGCATTGTGTTTTACTGTGTAGGCTATATGAATTTAATACATGTTTGTATTATTATATATATTATTATGTTTTAAAAATGGTTAAACCATGGCACATGTTTATATTGCTGAATAAGGCAGTCGGCTATTCCCTTCTTGCGGAGCAGCAGCGCGTTTACATTCCTGAAGGCGGCGTTCAAAGAATCAGATTAGACGCTAGCCTGGGTTCCAGGCCCTAGTTTTAGGTTACTCCCTCTTTATTGCACTTAGTGAGCGCCATACCTAATTTAATTGGCGTCCCATACTCGATTTCTTTTTTTTCGAATTAGGGCCTGGGCAAACGATTCATGCGTGCAATTTCCCACATCAAATTTGATGTGAGATATCGTATGCATGACTGATTTTGTAAATCACGTGATTGGCTAACCTCATGCATATTAATCAATCTTGGTAAATTTTCAAAATTGAAGATGCGGATGTCTCGACTAGAACAAGCTCCAGCTCCCTTTTGGCTACCTACTTGAATTAAAACAGTTAGTATAATAGTTCTGGTCTGCTGAGAACGACATGGGACTGATAACCGTAGGCTATAGGCCTACTTGGAACCTTGCTCACCACTAGCTGCTACACAGATTTAGGCCTTTGGGGTAGAATATTGTTAAAAATGTAGGCCTCTGTAAGTAAGAACTTAAAAATAGGCCAAGCCTCTACTAGTCTAGGCTAGGCCTACTACCTGACTCTAGGCGAGGCCTGAGCCATCCTACTGGAAAGTTAAAGTTTTGTTGTATTTGTATGGTATGCCATC